GCAAAGGATCACCGCCTTGTCGGGGCGCTGGAGCTTGAGCACCTCAATGATGTCATGAGCGAAACCGTGAAGGGACACCCAAGACGGGACGGTTGTGGCAGAGAGGTCAGACCAAGCGTGGTCCCTGGGGAAGGCAATGGCAAACCACTCCAGTATCCTTGCCAAGAAAACTAAATGGACCAGTACAACCAGAGATATGTCGGTATGCCATTGGAAGATGGGACTCCCAGGTCGGAAGATGGCCAAAATGCTACTGGGGAGGAGCAGAGGATAAGTTCAACTAGCCCCAGATGTGATGACGCAGCTAGCTCAAAGCCGAAAGGAAGGCTAGCGGCCGACGGTACTGGAGGTGAACGACGAATCCGATGCTCTAAAGATCAACACACCATAGGAACTTGGAATGTAAGATCTATGAGCCAGGGCAAATGGATGTTGTTATTGGTGAGATGTCAAGACTAAAGATAGACATTCTGGGGGTCAGCGAACTGAAATGGACTGGAATGGGCCACTTCACATCAGAAGACCACCAGATCTACTACTGCGGACAAGAGGAACATCGAAGAAATGGAGTAGCCTTCATAATTAATAAGAAATTCGCTAAAGCGGTGCTTGGATACAACCCAAAAAATGACAGAATGATCTCAATTCGAGTGCAAGGAAAGCCTTTCAACATTACAGTGATCCAAATATACGCCCCAACCACAGCTGCTGAAGAAGCAGAAGTAGATCAGTTCTATGAGGATGTGCAGGACCTACTGGATAATACACCAAAAAGAGACATTATTTTCATTACAGGAGACTGGAATGCCAAGGTGGGAAGTCAAATGACAACAGGGATCACAGGCAAGCATGGTCTGGGAGAACAAAATGAAGCGGGACGCAGGCTGATAGAATTTTGCCAGGAAAACTCGCTGTGTATAACGAATACTCTCTTCCAACAACCTAAAAGGCGGCTTTACACATGGACCTCACCAGACGGTCAACACCGAAATCAGATTGACTACATCCTTTGCAGCCAAAGGTGGCGGACATCCATCCAGTCGGTGAAAACAAGACCTGGGGCTGACTGTAGCTCAGATCACGAACTTCTTATTGCCCAATTTAGAATAAAACTAAAGAGATCAGGGAAAATACACAGACAGTTAGATATGATCTCACTAACATTCCTAGCGAATATACAGTGGAAGTGAAGAACAGATTTGAAGGACTAGATTTAGTAAACAGAGTCCCAGAAGAACTATGGACAGAAGTCTGAGACATTGTTCAGGAGGCGGCAACAAAGTACGTCCCAAAGAAAAAGAAAACCAAGAAGGCAAAATGGTTGTCTGCTGAGACACTGAAGTAGCCCAAGAAAGGAGGAAAGCAAAAGGAAACAGGGATAAGGGGAGATATGCCCAGTTAAATGCGCAATTCCAGAGGTTAGCCAGAAGAGATAAGGAACTATTTTAAATAAGCAATGCATGGAAGTGGAAGAAGACAACAGAATAGGAAGGACAAGAGACCTCTTCCTGAAAATTAGAAACATTGGAGGTAAATTTCAGGCAAAAATTGGTATGATAAGAAACAAAGATGGCAGGGACCTAACAGAAGCTGAAGAGATCAAGAGAAGGTGGCGAGACTATACAGAAGATCTGTATAGGAAGGATAATAATATCAAGGATAGTTTTGACGGTGTGGTGAGCAAATTAGAACCAGACATCCTGAAGAGTGAGGTTGAATGGGCTATAAGAAGCATTGCTAACAACAAGGCAGCAGGAGACAATGCGATCCCAGCTGAACTATTTAAAATCTTGAAAGATGATGCTGTCAAGGTGATGCATGCCATATGCCAGCAAATATGGAAAACACAAGAATGGCCATCAGACTGGAAAAAAATAAACTTATATCCCCATACCAAAAAAGGGAAATGCGAAAGACTGCTCAAACTTCCGTACAGTGGCCCTTATTTCTCATGCCAGTAAGGTAATGCTCAAGATCCTGCAAGGAATACTCCAGCAATACATGGAGCGAGAGTTGCCAGATGTACAAGCTGGCTTAGAAAAGGCAGAGGAACAAGAGACCAAATTGCCAATATCAGCTGGATAATGGAGAAAGGCAGGGAATTTCAGGAAAACGTCTACTTCTGCTTCATTGACTATTCTAAAGCCTTTGACTGTGTGGATCATAATAAATTGGCAAGTTCTTAGTGGGATGGGCATCCCAAGCCACCTTGTCTCTCTCCTGAGGAATCTGTACAAGGACCAAGTAGCAACAGTCAGAACTGACCACGGAACAACAGACTGGTTCAAGATTGGGAAAGGCGTACGGCAAGGCTGCATACTCTCACCCAACCTTTTTAACTTGTATGCAGAACACATCATGCGATGTGCGGGGCTTGACGAATGCAAGGCTGGGGTAAAAATTGCTGGAAGAAACATTAACAACCTTAGATATGGAGATGATACCACTTTGATGGCTGAAAGTGAGGAGCTGAGGAGCCTTCTAATCAAGGTGAAAGAAGAAAGCGCAAAGCGTTGGGTTGCAGCTAAACATAAAAAAACCAAGATTATGGCAACAAGAATGATTGACAACTGGGAAATGGAGGGAGAAAACATGGAGGCCATGAAAGACTTTGTATTTCTAGGTGCAAAGATTACTGCAGACGCAGACTGCGGCCAGGAAATCAGAAGACGCTTACTTCTTGGGAGGAGAGCAATGTCCAATCTCGATAAAATAGTGAAGAGTAGAGACATCACACTGGCAACAAAGATCCGCCTAGTCAAAGCCATGGTATTCCCTGTAGTCACATACGGATGTGAGAGCTGGACCTTAGGGAAGGCTGAGCGAAGGAAGATCGATGCTTTTGAGCTGTGGTGTTGGAGGAAAGTTCTGAGAGTGCCTTGGACTGCGAGAAGATCCAACCAGTCCATCCTCCAGGAAATAAAACCCGACTGCTCATTGGAGGGAAGATACTAGAGACAAAGTTGAAGTACTTTGGCCACATCATGAGGAGACAGGAAAGCCTAGAGAAGACAATTATGCTGGGGAAAGTGGAAGGCAAAAGGAAGAGGGGCCGACCAAGGGCAAGATGGATGGATGGCATCCTTGAAGTGACTGGACTGACCGTGAGGGAGCTGGGGGTGGTAACGGCCGACAGGGAGCTCTGGCGTGGGCTGGTCCATGAGGTCACGAAGAGTCGGAGACGACTGAACGAATGAACAACAACAACAACATATATATAATATTTATATATCAACTAGCTGTTTGATGTTTCTGGATGGGAAGATTGTGTTTTTTTCTGGCATTTTCATGGAATTGTTAGTCATAGAGTTTGAAAAGACCTCTATTATTTATTTATTTATTTATTTACTTTGCTTATATACCACTGTATCTCAAGCCCGAAGGCGACTCACAGCGGTTCAGGACCATCCATTCCAACCCTTGCCATGCAGGAATACATAATCAAGGCACTCCTGACAGATAGACATCCAGCCTCTGCTCAAAGCCTCCAGAAAAGGAGATCAACATATTTATAAGCAGCATATTCCACTGCCAAGCAGCTCTGGAGTCTTATGTTATCTGCTGTTCTGTGTATTTCAATATGCATTTTGTAGAATGACGATCATTTGATTTTAGTGATGCTGTGTCCTGCCTCGAGCCATGAGGAGAGGCAGGTAAGCAGCTTGGGAGTGATCCTGGATTCATCGCTGAGCCTGGAACCCCAGGTTTCGAGGGTGGCCAGGGGAGCTTTTGCAGAACTAAACCTTGTGCACCAGCTGAGCCCGTACCTTGGGAAGTCTGATATGGCCACAGTGATCCACGCTCTGGTTACATCCCAAACAGATTACTGCAATGCACTCTACATGGGATTGCCTTTGAAGACTGTTCGGAAACTTCAGCTAGTCCAACAGGTGGCAGCCAGATTACTCAGTGTTGTACCATACAGGGAGCACACCACCCCTCTGTTATGTCAGCTCCACTGGCTGCCAGTCCGCTTCCAAGCACAATTCAAAGTGCTGGTCTTGGCCCATAAAGCCCTATACAGCTCCAGCCTAGCTTATTTTGTCTGAACATATCTCCCTCTACGTTCCACCTCGTAGTTTAAGATCAACCGGGGAGGCCCTGCTCTCGGTCCCATTTGGTGGGGACAAGGAACAAAGCCTTCTTGGTGGTGACCCCCAACCTGTGGAATTCGCTTCCCAACAAGATTAGGTTAGCTTCATCCTTTTCCTTAGGGAAGAAACTGAAATCATGGTTTTGGAACAAGGCTTTTGTACAGCAGGCATGGCAGCACTTTGGATGTTGAACTAGACTGGATGTGGCTATATGATTTGGATAATAATGTTTTAACAGTTTTTAATCTATTGTTTTATTTACCATTTTAAATTACTGTTATAGTTGTCATATTTGTTGCGACATTGGATTGTTGCCAGTGTAAGCTGCTCTGAGTCTGTCGTCGTCATGTTCCCCCCCCCCCCGGGGGGGGGGGGTTGAGAAGGGCAGGGTAGAAATGTTGGAAACATATTATTATTATTATTATTATTATTATTATTATTATTATTATTATTATTATTATTATTACCATCAGGAAATTCTTTATTCTATGTATGGCATTACGATCTTGTCCTTCCTATTTAAAATTTTCAGTCTTTTGGCCAAACTATCCCTCTCTTTCTTTAGCTTTACCAGTTCAATTTGGCTCCGCTCTCATGAGATGTATAAAGGCTTGCCCTTTTAGTTATACTTCCCATTCTGTATACAAGTTCTGCAGATACTCAGATGTTGGACTGGAGGAAGGTGTGCACTGTCTGCAAGGGTTTGTTTTGCTAAATGAGTAAACGTGCACTGGTTTGCTGGATTTGCTTCAAGAGTAGCATTTGATTAGAGCATGCTGGAGAAGCAAGTTTGTGTTTTCTTGACTCCCAACAATAGGGTTGTTGCTCACAGAGGATTGCCTCTAGGCATCCTCTTCCACATTTCCAGAGGCTTTCCATCTTTCTTTGCAGAATGGCTCCCTTGGGCGTACAAGCCTCAGCTTTCTGCCTTGTAGCGCAAGACAAAAGCTCTCTGCATACCGAAGATGACGAGGGCTTGACCCAGGTTTGGTCTGAATCCAGGCCTCTCTTGCGATTCGGCGGCATAATATTTATTCATGCATCGCATTGCCTGCCAAGCCGTCACATGGTTTGGCAGCCGGACACACGCTCGGGGAGCCAGGACTGACGTGGGTGCACAGACACACCTCCCAGTCATGCTCTTGCGCTCTGATGACATCCAGATAAAGTCATGCTGCGAGAAGCAACGGGCTTTCCGCTGTCCGGTTCTCTGTGGAGGGCCAGAAAAATTCAGATCAGATGACATTAAGCCAGATACTGGAGGCGGAAAGGAAGAGGGAAGGGATCACATGCTCCCTACAAGAAACTCGATTGAGGCAGAAGCAGCATATAAACTATTGTGTTTCTAAACGTTGTGTTTTAAAGTCCTGCTGTGTAGCATATGGAACGAAGGAGTCACATGAGGATAGACCAATTTTTCCTGTTCCGTAGGACAGGAGTGAAATAGCGTGGCCCTCCACAAAGTGCCATTCCTAGCATTCCTCACTGCTGGGACTTTCCAGTATGATTCCTAACCTTCTTTTAAGGTACCTGTTTCTTTGATTCCAAGATGCACTTTTTCCCATATAAACATTTCCAAAAATGGGGTGTGCCTTAGGATCAAGGGTGATATATGTATATGTTTATGTGTGTACACACACACACACATCATCTCCCCCCCCTATATATAACTAGCCATCCCCTGCCACGCATTGCTGTGGCCCAGTCTGTGTATATGTATTTTGTGTGTGTATATATATTTGTGTATATGTGTATATATGTGTGTTTGTGTATATATGTGTGTGCGTGGTTTTGCGCATGCCTTGTAATGTTTCTTTTTGGTTCTAAAGTCCCTTCTACTTTGTTTTCAGTGTTTTTATGAGTGATGGTCACTCATTGGCCTGATATGTGTATTGTGTCCAAATTTGGTGTCAATTCGTCCAATGGTTTTTGAGTTATGTTAATCCCACAAATAAACATTACATTTTTATTTATATAGATATATGCTCTGTGTGTGTGTGTATGAATATATATATATATACATACACACACACACACTATATATATATATATACACAGATATATACACCATATATATATACACCATATATATACCATACACACACACACACTAAAATAAATAAATAAAACTTTATTTGTACCCCGCTACCATCTCCCCAAGGGACTCGGTGCAGCTTACATGAGGCCGAGCCCACAATACAACAATAAAAACAATAGCAACAGTAGTACAAAACAATACATAAACTCATAAGCAGAAAATAAGCAATAAATATTAACAATAACATGACGACGCTTAAAAACGTATGGCTGGGCCAAATGTAATAATTAATTTTTTTTAAATAACACTGGGCATGACCAGGTGACATATATATATATAGAGAGAGAGAGAGAGAGAGAGAGAACATATGTGTATACACATGCACACACATATTTATCTTTTTTCTGTTGGTGGTACAAAATTAGCATACATTTTATAATCAGTGGCATCTTATAATGGTATCGTTTTGCATATGTTTCTAAGAACAGTAAGACGTTCCAGTGCACAAGGTCTGTTTCCTTGTGATGGAAAAATGCTGGAGGCGTTTAGTGTTCTTGCAACTGCCTTCCCATGAATTCCTTTGCCATTGCTTCTTTCATTTCTCCCAACTTGCCTTTTTGGGATTTTGGTCAGCGGGCAGGAGAGGCGCACTATGTATGAGTGCAACTACACTGTACAATTAATGCACTTCAACACCATTTTTGTAATATAATACAGCCAGGGGCGGCTCAACCCATTACGCAAAGTAAGCATTTGCAGTATAGTTGATTTTGCCCAGGGGCGCTCTTGAGGCACTCGTGGGGGAAAATAGACCTTGACATATGCGAGTTGTAGTTACTGGGATGTATAGTTCACCTACAATCAAAGAGCATTCTGAACTCCACCAATGATGGAATTGAACCAAATATGGCACACAGAACTCCCACGACTAACAGAAATATCAGTGATTGGTTGGGGGGGGGGGAGGGGGGTGCCAAAATACTGTTTGCTTACCATTGAAAATTACCTAGGGCCGCCTCTGCATGACTCAATGCTATAGAACCATAAGAGTTGTAGTTTTATAAGGTCTTTATCTTTCTTGGCCAAATAAGGCTAGCGCCTCAGCAAACTCCTCCTCCCTGGATTCCATATCATTGAGCTATATAAGTTAAATTGGTGTCAAACTGCATTATAATTCCACAGTATAGATACAGCATTAGTGTTTGTACATATGAACTTACAGTCCTTGGTGGTCTCTTTTTCTTCTTGCATTGTGACAGGGACTTTTAGACCCAGAATACCTGTTGGGAAAATTATGTTGTTGTTATTTTTGTTATCATTATTATTAACTTTCTTTCTACCCCACCTTTCCCTCCATGGAGACTCAAGGTGGTTTACAAGAACATGATAAAGGTAAAGGTTTCCCCTCAAAATTAAGTCTAGTTGAGTCCGACTCTGAGGTTTGGTGTTCATCTTCATTTCTAAGCCGAAGAGCTGGCATTGTCCATAGACGCCTCCAAGGTCATGTAGCCTGCATGAAGCATGAAGTTCAACAGTAACAAATGCAAGATACTCCACTTTGGCAGGAAAAACGAAATGCAAAGATACAGAATGGGGGACAATGCCTGGCTCGAGAGCAGTACGTATGAAAAAGATCTTGGAGTCCTCGTGGACAAAAGTTAAACATGAGCCAACAATGTGATGTGGCGGCAAAAAAAGCCAATGGGATTTTGGCCTGCATCAATAGGAGCATAGTGTCTAGATCTAGGGAAGTCATGCTACCCTTCTATTCTGCCTTGGTTAGACCACACCTGGAATATTGTGTCCAATTCTGGGCACCACAATTCAAGAGAGATATTGACAAGCTGGAATGTGTCCAGAGGAGGGCTAAAATGATCAAGGGTCTGGAGAACAAGCCCTATGAAGAGTGGCTTAAGGAGCTGGGCATGTTTAGCCTGAAGAAGAGAAGGATGAGAGGAGATATGATAGCCATGTATAAATATGTGAGAAGAAGCCACAGGGAGGAGGGAGCAAGCTTGTTTTCTGCTTCCCTGGAGACTAGGATGTGAAACAATGGCTTCAAACTACAAGAGAGGAGATTCCATCTGAACATGAGGAAGAACTTCCTGACTGTGAGAGCTGTTCAGCAGTGGAACTCTCTGCCCCGGAGTGTGGTGGAGGCTCCTTCTTTGGAGGCTTTTAAACAGAGGCTGGATGGCTATCTGTCGGGTGTGCTTTGAATGCAATTTTTCTGCTTCTTGGCAGGAGGTTGGACTGGATGGCCCATGAGGTCTCTTCCAACTCTTTGATTCTATTATTCTATGATACCTTCCTGCCGGAGTGGTACCTATTGATCTATACACATTTGCATGTTTTTGATCTGCTAGATTGGCAGAAGCTGAGGCTAACAACAGGAGCTCACCCTGATCAACAAGTTTGGCAACTGTGCCCCTGCAGTGGGTTAATTGATAGGGTTGTATCAATAACATGATACAATCCAATACATTTGAATTTATTTAGCCACTGTCTCTCAGCGTATCCTACTTCATAGGAATAGCAAAAAGGTGCAGGAATGGGGTGTATTTGAGAGGGTGACCATGCACTCTGTTCTGAGCTGCTGGAGAAATAAAAGGTGTGAATAACAAAAACTATTAAATCGTTTCCATATGCATGCTTTATTATGTCTGAAGCGAACAGGAGAGAAAGTGAGGTGCCTAGGACAAATTTACTAGCCAGATGGTATTTTAACCTGGGTTTTCCATTTCCCAATTTGGGATTCTCGCCATGCCAGTTTATAATGGTATGTTCAATCTGTTTCATTCTGCTGTAATATATCTCACATTATTTCTTACTCCAAAGGCTTGAGACCGTTACCTCTGCATTACTTATTGTGCTAATGAAAAGAAAGATAAATTAAGGGAGATGTAACCATGTTCCTTTTATTTAATGATCTCTCACTCACTTTTTGTCTAATTAGCAGTAGGTATTTAAAGTGCATGTACCATTTGAGTTAATTAGTAATGCAAATGAAACATGATTGTATTCTTTTTCGTGGTGGAATGAAAGAGAATGCCCCCTTCCTCCGACTGAAAGCTGCTTTACTTCAAACCCACACTTCTCTTTTGAGTTTGGAGTGCTGATATAAATAGCTCCTTTTTATAGTCCTCAAATAAGCTTGGAGATGGAAAAGGCAAATCAGACAGCTCTGTAGAAGGAAGCACAGATGAAGGGAGAAGGGATGATAGTAGATTTTCGTTGGTTGGTCACTGCTGTCACATGGCACCAGGCAGCGTGGTCGGCAGACATGTGCTTGCATCCCTTGCGTCCTATTCCCAAATCCAATGCTGCTGACACACACATGTCAGTCACACTCCAGTACTGACACCGGATCTGCAGCAACTGTTGCTTTGTCCAGCTGTGCTTCTGTAGTTATTATGGCCAATATGTGTGGAGAGTATGTGTGCACAGCAAAAACAAAGCCATAGCAATTGTGTCATAAGAAACATTTCACACATCAGGTGTAGGAGAGTATTTAGGTTATGATTGAATACATTGACCCTCTCTTGCTTTGTGTTTTGTCATGTTGCTGCATACTGGGTTTCTTGTGGTTACAGAAATTGCCCGGAATGTGATTTCAAGTTTCGGTAAAGGTAAAGGTTTTCCCCTGACATTAAGTCCAGTCATGTCTAGGGTGTGGTGCTCATCGCCATTTCTAAGCCAAAGAGCCGACGTTGTCCATAAACGTCTCCAAGGTCATGCGGCTGGCATGACTACAAGGAGTGCCGTTACCTTCCCGCTGGAGCGGTACCTATTGATCTACTCACATTTGCAAGTTGGCAGAAGCTGGGGCTAACAGCGGGTGCTCACACCACTTCCTGGATATGAACCTGTGACCTTTCGGTCAGCAAGTTCAGCAGCTCAGCGGTTTAACCCACTGCACCACCAGGGGCTCCCCAGTTTGCATTAACATTTAATTTTTTGGGGAATTGGGAGCTGTTAGGCTCAAAATAACCCTCTCTGGTGGTGAATCCACCAAAAATATGCTTACTTAGGCAATCCCTGATTGTCTGAGTAGGATTGTCTTCCAAGATCGGTGTACTGGCGGTGGGTATGTAGATGACAGTGGAGCCCGATTCTTGATCTGCATCTTCTCCCGCAGTGAGGGCATTGGTTTCTAGGTGGAAGGCGGTCCTGGTCAGGGTTGGCTTGACGCGCCTTCCTCTTAGCACATTTCTCTCTTTCGCCCTCCATTCTTGCCTCTTCAAATTCTACAGCACTGCTGGTCACAGCTGACCTCCAGCTGGAGTGCTCAAGGGCCAGGGCTTCCCAGTTCTCAGTGTCTATGCCAGAGTTTTTAAGATGGTGGCCGGGTATAAATAAATTATTATTATTATTATTATTATTATTATTATTATTATTAAAAACATGTTTCAGTTTCCCATTCCACCATGGAAACCCATTGGGTGATCCAGTAAACCCCATAAGGGTCAACGTTTTGAGGTTGCAGATGAGGTCGACTTAGCTTTCGACGGCGATTGAGCCACAGTTGAGGTCAAGGGCTCGGAGGTCCAAGGAGCCAAAGTGGAAGCCTGAAAATCAAGGGAGCGAGAGTTTGCTCGTACAGCAGATATTTAAGTCGGGCGACCCTGTTCTTCCGAGCCTGGGCCATCAGGGACTGGCAATGGTGACAGGAAGAAATAACATGGGCCTCACTGAGGCAGAGGAGGCACTTAGCGTGCTTGTCAGAGTCTGGAAATTTAACAAAGCACTGAGTACACCACTTAAATCGAGTAGTAGACATTGCGAAGAAGTTTCCGAGGCGAGCTTTGCAGGGGGAAAACAGGAACTGTGGAGCATGTGGCCAGGGTGCCTTTTATGCCCTGGAGAGGGGACTGGGCGGGGTTACCGCCAAAACTTTGGATTTAAACTTTGGATGTTTTCCGTTGGAGCCTGCGCAGGTACTCCACATGTGTGTATTCACAGAGTCCACAAAGAAAAAATCAGAATGATTTCAAGCACACAACAAGAAGATACTTAGTAAATGTGTTAAAGGATAGTGGCTTGTATTGCTCAAAGTTTACCTTATGCTGTGCTGGTACAGCTGTACCAGGAGCTCCAACTTAATTTTCTTTCTGTTATGTTTGCAGTCATAGGGCAGGCCTCCTGTCCATCATAATTAAGCTTTGGTTCTGCCCCTTGTTCAGGGTTCTGAGAGGGAAAGGAGCCATTTTTTGGGCAGTCTCTCATAAGGAAGCTAAACTATAGGACGTAGACCAGCTCATCCCGTAGAAAACCTTCTTTTCTCAAAAACATCTGGGGAAACAGAAACAGAAATTCCAGGGGAAAGGTCCCAAGGTTCTGGCTGAGAGCTCACAGCGTCTCAGCCTCACAGTAAACAGAGGGAAAACAGCCCTGAAGTTCTCAAAGAATTCTCTGAGGGAGGACAGCACTACAGATCCACGGAACTCCATCTGAAATATCTACAAGCCTCGGCTGGTAGGTCTACTCGATACCCAGACGCATTTGGAATCGGTAGTAGGACACACACCGATGAGGCATAGATAATAAACAGCCTGGGAGAGGTTAAATAGGGCTTTTTCCTACAGAGAAAGTACAGTTAATTAAAGTCAGGTACCAGTCCATTGAGGACTATACTAAGAAAGCCTTGAAGTGTTGTTTGAACCACTGAAGATTTGTTGTTTGTTCCATAATAAAGACTTTGTTGTATCATTGAAGACTCTAAAGACAATCACTTCAGAAAAATCCCCGAGAACCTCTCTTTGAGGCCCCCTGGCTTCCCGCTGGGCTTAAAGTATACGTCCTATAGAAAAGACAGCTATTACAGGCCCAGTGCGCAATAGAACATATGCATTGTGAAATGCTGGCAGGTTGTCAGCGGTGAAAGAGTTACACTGAATCACACTGCTGAGGCTTTCTTTCTGCTGTCTCCCCAAGGGGCTTATTCTCGCTTATGCCTTGTTTCACTTGGCTGTCTTAATGACTAATCCTGCTTGGTTCTTGTTCCTTTTTGTTCCCTTACCTCTCATCTCCTCCTCCTGTGACCAGCTGCCACCCTCCTCTCTTCCCTTCTTCCTCTCGCTGTTTTCAAATACGTTCTGAGGTTTTCATTAGCAGCCAGGACGCTTTATTCACCGTTGTTGGTTTTCCGCAGGCAAATACAAAATGGGTGACTCCAGATCACAAAGGGCAAACAAACCAAACAATCCTAGACATTGAGAAACAAACCTCCTGCTGTTTCGAGCTCTCTGCCGGCCGTAATGTAAATGTAAGCAGCACCACTTTCCATTTGCAGGATGGGCCCCTGGTGATTGTGGAACTCAAAATAATATTGCACAAAACCCCTCGGGGAGATTGGTTATTAGCCTTAAGATCTGCACGTGGCCAGGGGAATTTTGCACAGGATGATGAGATACAACAGAAATATGATGGCTGCACATACCATGTAAATCAGGCATGGGCAAACTTCGGCCCTCTGGGTGTTTTGGACTTCAACTCCCACAATTCCTGACAGCCGGTAGGCTGTTAGGAATTGTGGGAGTTGAAGTCCAAAACACCCAGAGGGTCGAAGTTTGCCCATGCCTGATGTAAACTGATGTATAAGTCGATCTCATGTATAAGGTTTGGGGAACACAGTTATGGATTTTGATATGACCCATGGATAAGCCAGGGGTCATTTTGAGGAAAGAGGGAAGCACCTTTGCCAGCTTTGGTGACCTGCCACCATTTCTCTGCCCAGGCATTCAGAAAGGCCAGAAGCAGAACCATAGTGGAGAAAATAGAGGAGGTTCCTACTTCTATAAATTTCTCTTACATTTCACCTCTACTCAAAGAAGGGGGTGGTTGCTTTTTGAAAGAGTTAGACTACAGTACTCACATTGGCCTGTAGATAAATTGACCCAGTTTTTAAATTTTTAAATTAAAAAAATTAGACATATACATAGGGTACTTCTGTTGGAAATAGCAACCTTCTACAAGCCTCCTATTCTACTTATTTGTTATGTATATAATTCAGATTGCTTACTGTACTGTATATGTGTATACAGTAGGCTTGGTTGATCAAGAAAAAAAATGGTTCTAAACTCGTTTCGTCTGTAGGGGGCGCTGGAGGTTCGATTTTTAAATTATTTCTGAAATTTTCTTTAAAAAAAGATCGAAATTACCAGGAAATACGAATCGTTTCCTTTGTTTTGTTAATGGAAGGTGTCCTTTCCTCCCTCCAGAACCATTAAAATCTCGCAGTTTCCCTTCATTCCCTTGCAGCAGAAGGGAGTGGTGGGCGTGGCCAAGCACAGCCCCCAGCGACCTCCGAGCAAGGAGCGCTGTGCTTGGCCACTCCCACCTCTTCCTTGGACAGCTTGCCAGGGAAGAGAAAGAAAGGTGAGAGATTTAAAAAAACACTTTTAAAATCTCTCACTTTTCTTTCTCATCCCTGGCAAGCTGTCCAAGGGAGAGGTGGGTGTGGCCAAGCACAGCGCTCCTCGGAGGCCTCGCCCCCAGCGGCCTCTGAGCGAGGAGCACTGTGCTTGGCCACGCCCACCTCCTTCCTCTTTGCATCGGCGGCTTTGCGAGGTGGGCGTGGCTACGCCCAGCTCTTCCGCATCGCCGCTTGTCACCAGGGAGGTAGTCACCCCCACCTCGCAAAGCCACCGATGCAAAGAGGAAGGAGGTGGGCGTGGGTAAGAACAGCTGTTCCTAAAGGCCACGCCCCCAGCATTTACGATTCACTGGTGGAAGTCGTAAGGAAGATGGGGGCGCAGCTTCGATATGGCAAAAACACTTCCGGGTTGCCAAAACGCGTCGATATCGCTTCTAAAGGTAATTATTTAATGAATTAATAACGAATTAAGAAATTAACGAACTGGATCAACCAAGCCTAGTATACAGTATTGCTATGCAGTTTTCCTTAACTCTGTGTTGTGGGAGAGGCTGCAGACCATATAATCAGATCTGGGATTGTTTGGACTCAGACTCCATTTTAGAAGTCAGTCAAAATAGAGAACAGACTCTGTTAGACTCTCAGAACAGAGAAATGCTTTAGAGCAGGGGTCCACAAACTTTTTAAACAGAGGGCCAGGTCACAGTCCCTCAAACTGTTGGAGGGCAGGACTATAATTTCAAAAAAAACATGAATGAATTCCTATGCACACTGCACATATCTGATTTGTAGTGCAAAAACCACTTAAAAACAATACAATAATTAAAATGAAGAACAATTTTAACAAATATAAACTTATTAGTATTTCAATAGGAAGTGTAGGCCTGCTTTTGGCTGTTGAGATAGGATTGTTGTTGTTGTTGTTGTTGTGTGCTTTCAAGTCGTTTCAGACATAGGTTGACCCTGAGCGAGGGCCGGGTAAATGACCTTGGAGGGCCGTATCCGGCCCCCGGACCTTAGTTTGAGGACCCCTGCTTTAGAGTCTGATTATGGACTCAAAGAAAGATGCCCTGTGTTATCTGCACAGAGAAACTACTTCAAATCCTATCTGTAACTGGATGGATATACAAAGTACCTGTATGCTGAATACATGAAGTTTGTGAGTAAACCAATTATGTTATTTTAATGAAAACTACTTTATTTTTATCTCTTGAGAGCATGATTAAAACCAATATGTTTTAAGGGAGTGTAGATTTTTTGGGCAACTGAAAGAAACACTTCTGCAACTCTGCTATGTACGTTTTTGTGGATTGGCTTATCTTTGTCCCTAACAGTTCAAAGAGATAACAAGGTATGTCAGTCTAACACAGCTGAGAAACCTAATTGCCTTGCATGAATACTAGTGGATATTTTCCACTAAGGAAAGGGTTGACACAAGCGAGTTTTTAACTGGGTTGTTGTAAGTTTTTTCGGGCTATATGGCCATGTTCTAGAGACATTCTCTCCTGACGTTTTGCCTGCATCTATGGCAAGCATCCTCAGAAGTAGTGAGGTCTGTTGGAACTAGGAAAATGGGTTTATATATCTGTGGAAAGACCAGGGTGGGACAAAGGAACTCTTGTCTGCTGGAGCTAGGTGTGAATGTTTCAACTGACCACCTTGATTAGCATTTGATAGCCTGGCAGTGCCTGGAGCAATCTTTTCTTGAGAGGTGATTAGATGTCCCTGATTGTTTTCCCTCTGCTGTTTTGCTGTTTTAATTTTAGAGTTTTTTTTAATACTGGTAGCCAGATTTGTTCATTTTCATGGTTTCCTCCTTTCTGTTGAAATTGTCCACATGCTTGTGTATTTCAATGGCTTCTCTGTGTAGTCTGACATGGTGGTTGTGAGAGTGGTCCAGCATTTCTGTGTTCTCAAATAATATGCTGTGTACAGGTTGGTTTTTAACTCTTCTCAGGGAGATTCCTGATTTTCACAAAAAGTTACAGAGATTTCCATTTCCCAAAAATGCCTCTGCGCTTCATTGATGTTTTCAACAATGTGTATTCCTTTTTTTTTAGAGGGGCCCAAGTCGAACTATTTCCCCATCCAGATTCATCTTGCTCAATTCAGACTAGTAATGACTTCCCATGATTTCAGACCACGGTATGCACAGAAATTTCAGGAATTGTGTATGTGTCCATTTTTGTACAAGGCTTGTATTCTGCACTGAACCATATCCTTCTTACTTTGTCTGCTTTTGATCTGAGCCCGAATTCTGAAGATGCAAACAAATGGCACCTGCTTATAGTGTTTTCTACAACACACAGTGACATGACATCCATCTCTATTTTTGCCAGTCTACTTACAGTGATCATGTTTGCTTTCTTAAGTAGGGGACCTTAGCTTGATTTCATCTTGGGGGGATTTTTGACATATTATGTCAGCAGATGTCAGGAGGAAAATAATGTACAGCTCCCAGGCTCTTTCATACATAGAATCATAGAAACATAGAATCAAAGAGTTGTAAGAGACCTCATGGGCCATCCAGTCCAACCCCATTCTGCCAAGAAGCAGGAATATTGCATTCAAATCAACCCTGACAGATGGCCATTCAGTCTCTGTTTAAAAGCTTCCAAAGAAGGAGCCTCCACCACACTCCGGGGCAGAGAGTTCCACTACTGAACGGCTCTCACAGTCAGGAAGTTCTTCCTCATGTTCAGATGGAATCTCCTCTCTTGTAGTTTGAAGCCATTGTTCCGCATCCTAGTCTCCAGGGAAGAAGAAAACAAGCTTGCTCCCTCCTCCCTGTGGCTTCTTCTCACATATTTATACATGGCTATCATATCTCCTCTCATCCTTCTCTTCTTCAGGCTAAACATGCCCAGCTCCTTAAGCCGCTCCTCGTAGGGCTTGTTCTCCAGACTCTTGATCGTTTTAGTCGCCCTCCTCTGGACACATTCCAGCTTGTCAATATCTCTCTTGAATTGTGGTGCTCAGAATTGGACACAATATTCCAGGTGTGGTCTAACCAAAGCGGAATAGAGGGGTAGCATTACTTCCCTGGACCTAGACACTATGCTCCTATTGATGCAGGACAAAATCCCATTGGCTTTTTTTGCCACCACATAACATTGTTGGCTTATGTTTAACTTGTTGTCCATGAGATCTCCAAGATCTTTTTCACACGTACTGCTCTCGAGCCAGGCATTGTCCCCCATTCTGTATCTTTGCATTTTGTTTTTTTCTGCCTAAGTGGAGTATCTTGCATTTGTCACTGTTGAACTTCATTTTGTTAGTTTTGGCACAACTCTGTCAAAATCGTTTTGAATCCTGCTCCTGTCCTCTGCAGTATTGGCTATCCCTCCCAATTTGGTGTCATCTGCAAACTTGATGATCCTGCCTTCTAACCCTTCATCTAAGTCATTAATAAAGAATGTGCATGGACCATGCTGACGGGAGCATTCTGAGACTTGATGTTGGGAAATGGAAATAACTTTTCCTGATTCTGCTCCTTCTTGTTGCTGTCGCCTGCAGTGTCTGCTGCAGATCCAATGCAGTATAATTAAATGTCCTGCTGCAGTCAAGAGTGTGTGGCGCCTTGCCCTGGCACTCAATCAGTGTAACTCAATTTAGTAATCATGATGAGTGTTATATTATCCCACTGCTATTAAAGTTTCTCCCTTCTTTCCTTGTCTTTAATACTATAAACATTTTCTGATTATTTTTCATACACTGTTTTCAAAAGCTTATACCAAGTTATACCTTAGGCTGCAGTCAGATCACCACCTTGCTTCCTCCTTGTGGTTGTGTTACTCCAGGCCACATTTTCTTCTGTTCTAGCCACCTCTCATTTGACAATAAGGAAC